ATGAGGAATGAATAGAAAACCAACTTTTTATGTTCAAAATGCGTACATCTTTGATACTACTCGATCGCTGCGCTTACTTCCTTAGCCGGTCGCCTTGCTCCCTCGCTTGCACAGTTACGTAGGTAAAGTGGGGGGGGGGGGGGGTTCACAGTTTTATCCATTGCTCTCGGCGCCATAATCCATATACGTCACTGTTTATACAGATTTATGAATTGATTTTTATGTAAAGTTGGTTTAGATAAGTTTGGATAAAACCCAACTGTCTATTAGACGGGGCCCTGGGTTCTGATTTTGTATTCTGCCCCTATTCTTTCTTCTAAATTAAATAAACATTGCTGATACCTGATGATAGAATCCTCTGCTGCTACCAATACAATGTCTCTTTCACCTCCACTTTATTGTGGTATCTGGTCATTTAGCAGCTGTTCGGAGGCAGTTGTGAAGGGGATCGCATTTGAAATTTTCTCATGAATTTACCTTTTCCACTTTTCACAATGTGCTTAAGAATCTTTGGTGCTTGCAAGAGTGTGTGGAGTTTGTAACTAATATTATCACCTCTAACGGGCTTTAGCTTGTCCAGGACATCACTGATAGTATGGGTTCAATCAGTGCATAATCACATATAAGTCCTGGTGCATAATCACATATAAGTCCTGGTGCATAATCACATATAAGTCCTGGTGCATAATCACATACAAGTCCTGGTGCATAATCACATATAAGTCCTGGTGCATAATCACATACATGTCCTGGTGCATAATCACATATAAGTCCTGAACCGTGTCTCTGATCGGGGACTGAAATACTATGTAACTCCCGTTTTAGTGTATAGTGCGTATAAAAAAAGTGTACACAACTTTGGTAGCTCCTAATACAAATTCGTAACTAATATGACTTTGAAATTTTGTTCATGATGAAAAGTAAGTAATTTTATTTCAAATGATAGCCTATCCATAATATTCCTCCCGCAGTGAATAAGCACAAGGGTCTTTAAAAAGTTTTACCTTGTACCAAGTTTGGGCTGATGGAACGAATTTGAGTCAGGCCATTGTGCATATATGCTTAAAAGTTAAATTTTGCCTCGTGATTTGGTGCTTCATTGTTTAAAATGATGCAATGTAGTTAAGCTTTCACATTATCTTGTATCAATGCATAGGATAACCTTTACGTTGTTTTGAACAGTTTACTAATTTGTCTCATGATTATTTTAATTCTGTCCGACCGCTGCGCCATTTCACATACGTAAGGAGCATAAGGTCTTTATCTCGAATACCGGTTTCGTAACCTTTGAAAACTCAAAGGTAACGAAACCCAAATGCAAAAAAAGATCACTTATGTTGATATGTATCAAAGAACATTTTTCATGAAATGTGTTATCACCCCGTATGAAATTTAATTCTTTTTCATATGACATCTCACACATGGTAAAAAGTGATCTCAAAGATAGTTCAACAGTATTTTTGGAAAATGGCCGCCATTTTTTGTTCCAGCAATATATTTTCAAGGAAGTCCACTTAGGAATGGTGCAGGGGGGGTTGCCTCCACACGTTGATACCCACCGACCTTTAACGACATTCCATGTCTCAAAAACCTGCTTCCCCCTGGGTAAATTTGTTTTTACAAACCTGCCCTATCCCCTAAAGTAAATGACAGTCTCCACCAAAAATAGTGTTTACGATAAATTGAACGAACGTTTTATCAAATTTGCTGGAAAAACTACGAAATTGGCCAATAAAACCTTTATAAAATCTCGTTGACAGATGTGAAAGTTTCAACAATTACGTTAGTGGAACATGTGTGTGTTGTATAAGTAACGGCAATTGCTCTCATTATCATCATCATCATCATCACCATTATCAGTATTACCATTATCATCCGTTTCAAAATGCTCATCACAGTTATTTCTTCAGTTGTTGTTTGTTCTTGTTCTTACTGATTTAAACAATATTACTATTTTTTCTAAATACAGGCTAAAGACCCAAGGAAAGGTGTATTTTGGAAGTTGCTGTTTTGTATCGTAACCTGCTTGTCCTTCGGTAAGTATTATTTTGACTAAACATATCCGTAATATTTTGTTGAATATTGCAGAAACATAGCTGGCTTTCAAAATTTCCACAAGAAAGCGAAATAGGAGCGAGGTAAAAAACCTAAGTTAGTCTGCAAGCACAGACTGATTTTGACACTTTATCACAATTCATAAATCCTTGGGCAGAGCGTAGATCTGCCTGTTTCAGGTTTCTGGCTGTATCAAAACAAGCAGCTGAAGTATACGCAGCCAATTGTATAGTCACGTTATGCAGACACAACCATTGACAAGGATTTATGCCCTCAAACTTGACCTAATGAACATGGCATCTCAAACCAAAAAACACATCCGAAAAAAAGTCTCTCTAAAAAATGTTTCAAAATATATGTTAAAAAACCTGCATCCTCAAGATTGAGAAGAGGGTGTAAGGCAAGGACGAGGAGGAGCGGTAAAGGGAGGGAAGGGAATGATGATTAGGCTCGAGGAGGGCGATATGAGGATGAGTAGGAGAGGAGGAATGGGGAGGAAGAGGAGTATGAAGAGGGGGTGGAGAGAAGTAGCAGGGCTGGTAGGAGGAGAAGACGCGTAGGAGGAGGAGGAGGAGGAAAAAAACAATTAGCAATGAATTTTCTTATATATTCTTCACAGCCTTGCCTGTGTTATCGGATAGGACATCTTGTTCAGACTGGTACGGCCTAAATTACACTTTGCCCATGTTCCAAAAGTGTAAGATGATGCGACTCCGCGATGGCAGCATGGTGCAGAGCATCCCCAAACTCATCCCTTTCCCTTCTGTCATCGGCGGGTGCCACCAAAGGAAGAATAAAGAAGGGATCCCGGGCGGGCATAGAATATGCAGAATCCCGTGTAGGTTTCATTTTGTATTCATGTTTATTCTCATATGTCAAATTCGTTTCTTTGTTTAATCAATAAATCTACATGCAGATAACACGGACTTCAGTGATATCATTAAAGTTTGATATCAACTCCTAACTTCTTCTACTACTACTACTACAACTACTACTACTACTACTACAACTTCTGTTATTACCTCTACCCCACTACTAATACTACCTCTACTACTACTAATACTACTACTACTACTACTACTACTACTACTACTACTAATATTACTACTACTACTACTACTACTACTACTAACAATACTACTACTACTACTACTACTACTACTACTACTACTAACAATACTACTACTACTACTACTACTACTACTACTACTTCTACTACTACCACTACTACTACTACTACTACTACTACTACTACTACTACTACTACTACTACTCCTACTACTAACAATACTACTACTACTACTACTACTACTACTTCTACTACTACTGACTACTTCTACTGCTTATACTACTGCTACTACTCCTACTACTATTATTACTACATTTACTATTACTACTACTTCTACTACTACTTCTACTACTACTTCTACTACTACTACTACTACTACTACTTCTACTACTACAACTACTACTACTGCTACGTATATTAATACTTACACTACGATGACTACTACTACTAACAATAACAATTATGATAATATGTAATAGTAATAATAACGATGAAAAAAATATGATAATAGTAATGAAGATGATGATAATATGAATACGTATGATTATAATATTAATATTAGTAACAATGATGATAAAATAATATAATAATGATAATGATTATTATGCTAACATTAATGATATCAAGTACAACAATAATAGTAATTATGATAATGATAATAAAAAATGTATGTGACAAAATTATTGTCCCATCATGACAAGAAGAATATCTTATATTTTTGTTCTGTTTTAACTCAATCGAATGTCGAAGATATTTCGGGGAACTAAAACTCTTTTCGACCCAGTGAAAATGCCATCCTAATTTGTAAAACCTATTTAGATTGTGAAACTGAATCGTTCCAGCCGAAAAGTAACAACTATCGTTTATTTAGAAGACTATTCAAAAGAGCGAGAAGACTTGACTGGTAATCCATTAATAGCAAATTCATTGATAATTAATTTCAGGCTACTGGGTGATTTGAGTATCAATTATTGATGGTTTATAATGTAATAGGTTAGTATTTCGTTTGATAACGGTGGAACGGCTGACGAGTTTACAATATTGGATTCGACGATATATTGTAATAACGAGAGCAATTTATTCTTGTATCACACGAAAACAAAGCCATACGATATTATTATTATTATTTTCTGTCATATATGGATCTGTCATCTGGGCACTACGCTAAAGATATTAAATACACTGATTCATTGTACCACTTGGAAGCTTTATATATATATATATATATATATATATATATATATATATGATGAGTATTATCCTGTTTATAACTTATTTCGCAGATTGTGACGAAAACCTCTGTAACAACGGCTGGTGTGAAGAGACTATGGTAGGCTACAACTGTACCTGCTCAAGTGGGTTTCAAGGGAGACACTGCGATGAAAGTAGGTGTAATATAATATAGTATCGGGCCAATTAATGAGCAATTAATGAGTGGCAAATGAATGAGCAAAGAGCAAAGAGTTTGCTGTATCTTTTATCAGAAATTGTACATACATTCTGCACTGCACCTCACCAGTACGACAATACATGACGTTTGCCGGTACTGCAACTGAAGAAGAAGAAGAAGAGGATGATAATGATTAAAAAGAAAGTACATCACTGCCCTCTTTCGGAGCTATTTCATAGAATTGGGAGTCCCACGGGGAAAACATTTCTCCGATTTTTATCAGCTCCCCCCCCCCCCCCCCCCCCCCCGTTCTTGATCTTATCCCCGTACCCTGACTAAGAGCGCGTGGAGACAGCCGGCGGGGAGATATTTCAATGAAAATAATGTTATGCATCGTCATTTATCTCAGTTATGTTTATTTGTTGTTGTTATTTGGTATTTCCAGTGATCATACAGTCAACGACGGAAGCGACGACCAAGCCTACCATGAGCCCTACGACTACGATATCGGAACGCTCAGACACAACGACTTCCCAATCCACCACTACCACGAGTACGTCATGCATTTATTTTGACCATGATCATGATGGCCCGAATTCACAAGGGAGGTTTGTCGACAAACCCTCCCTTGTGAATTCGAGCCAAAGGATCTAGCCACTACACCCCACCCCTTCTTCTCTCTCTCTCTCTCTCTCTCTCTCTCTCTCTATCTCTCTCTCTCTTTCTCTCTCTCTCTCTCTCTCTCTCTCTCTCTTTCTCCCACTCTCTCGGTCTATATCTGACTCTATTTTTCACTCCTTTCTGGGCGTCGCTAAAACACTTTTTAAGGGGGGGGGAAGTGACCGTCTAATTCTTGTTTGTTCTAGTCTTATTTATTTTTGTGATCATTCTTTCATGAGTGTCGCTCAAACACTTTATAAGGAGGAAGCTAGTGCCCGTCAAATTTCTTAATTTAAATTTTGTCTATAAGTTTAACGACCATGATTGTGGTTGTTGTTGTTCTTCTTCTTCTTCTTCTCCCCTCTTCGCATGTTCTTTGTATCTGTCTGTCTGATCCCCTATCAATACCTGACTCCGGCTCCTTTTTTGTCCCACTCAATTAATTTTTTAATTAATTTTATTCTTTATTTTTTATTCCGTTCAGAGTCGGTGACAACGGAAGCGAAAACCAAGTCCGCGATGAGCCCTACGATCATGATGCCAGAACGATCAGAGGCAACGACATCGCAAGAAACCACCACCTCAAGTAAGAAAAACAAATTAAAAATCCCCTCTCTCTCTCTCTCTCTCTCTATTTCTCTCTCTCTCCCTCTCTCTCTTTCTCTCTCTCTCTCTCTCTCTCTCTCTCTCTCAGCCTTTATCCCTTTCCTGTCACGGGCGCCCGTCTCATTCGTTCGCCCACGAGTTTAATGACAACAAACACATTTAGATAAATTATTTGGTAAAATTCATGGGCTTTGACAAAGCATCACTAAATCTACAAACACAAATAATACCACATGAAATAAATAGACTGATACAATTTATATGTTGTCATGGAGCACAATTTTCTTTGTTTTGGCCTTCTGTAATCATGTTCAGGTTGTCATTCCTAATCATATTGCTTTGGAAGTGTGGTTTCATTTGCAACAACCTTCAAACGTTTCAGAGTCAGCAAAATTATCGACTATGGACGTGGTGACCAAGACGGCTACGAGGCCTATGACCACGGTGTCAGCCACAACGACATCGCAAGAAACCACCCCCTCCAGTAAGTAAGAGAAACAATGAAATGATGTCATGCTTAATGTGTCAAGCAACTACACCTTCCCTCTCTTTCTCTATCTCCCCCTCTCCCTCTTTCTCCCCTCCCTATTCACCGACCACCCCCTCCATCCCTCTTTCGCTCTCTCTTCATCTTTGTGTGTCAGTCGAGTGGTTTAAGCATTTGACTTGAAATTCAAAGGTCGTGGTTTAATCCGCGACACGGCATTAATGTCCTTTGGCAAGGCATCAATCTCCATTTGCCACACCCGACCCAGATGAGATAAATGGGAACCTAGTAAGAATTAATTCCTTGAAATAATAGAGCGCCGTAATGCCTAATGGCAACTAATCTTCCTTTGCCGCACTCGACCTAGGTGAGGTAAATGGGTACCTGGTAGGAATTAATTCCTTGAAATACTGGAGCGCCGTAATGGCAGCAAGGCTAAAGCCGGGTTAATTATTAGTGCGCCTCGGAATATAGTTGTCTAGATAGATGCTATATAAATGCCTATTAATATTGTCACTCTTTCAGTCTTTATCTGAGTCTGAGTAATAGAAACAATACATTGACGTCATGCATTTGATCATCATTATAATGGGTCTTGCCACTACCACTTTCCCCTTCTCTCTATCTCTCTGTCTGTCTCTCTGCCTCTCTCACTCTCTCTTTCTCTCGCTCTCGCTCTCTCCCTTCCCTCTTCCTCCCCTATGTTTCATTCATAAAAACAAAAATAACTGTATGAAATACCATTGCTATCTGCGATGGTGAGCAAAGTTCCTGTAGGTATTGATTTTTATAGCTGTAATTTTGTTCATGTCTTTGCATCGACTTTTATTATTATTATTAGTTTCGTCATCATCATCATCATCATCATCATTATCTATTTTTCTTTAAATATTTCAGTTTCTACCCAAATAACCACTTTGTCTACTTTCTTAAAATTGAGTAATTTACATATTGTATTTTTTATCTTTTCAGCATGCTCATCCCCTCCGGTGGATTGTGAATTCGGCGGGTCGTTCTACAATTTCAGCACTTCGGAGATGGATCATGCTTCTGCGGTTTCAGCTTGTTCCCAATACGGATCCCATCTGGTCTTCATCGAGTCGCAAGAGGAGGAGGACTTCATCGCGCGGCATGTTGAGTACTACCGGTATACCTGGGTGACTGATTACTGGTTCGGGCTGACCGGCTTGAGTCCCAGTGAGGCAAGGTGGCTAGACGGATCGAGTCTTACATATAGCAATTTTGACCAGTATTCGTTCAATGATAATGTAGGCTGTTTTCGTATTAAGTGTTGGAGTCAATATTGTAGGTGGCGTGATAGGGATTGCTCCGAACGAGTAAGATTCATATGCGAGAAAGAAGTGGGGATATAAAAATTGGATTTCTTTCTTTCGATTTTGTTATAATACCTGGTTGCACCATCGATTGCATCTGAACACCTAGATGGGGGCAAGGGAATATCCCTCCCCCCCCCAAAAAAAAAAAAAAAAATAAATAAATAAATAAATAAATGAAATAAAATAAATAAATAAATAAATAAATAAAATAATAATAATAAAAAAATAAATAAATAATAATTAAAAAAAAATATATATATATAAATAAATATATAAACATGTATATATATATATATATATATATATATATATATATATATATATACATATAAAATCAGGTTTTAGTTCTTTTGTCATTGTGTGTATAAGTCTATCGGAGCTTTATAGAAATGTTCGAGTTTGTGGTTTTTGCCGTTCCATGCACTAATTTTCACACGAAGAGCACTGAAACCATTGTTAAAGGTGTTGATTCATGATGTTTAAAAGACGAAGCACGTTACACCTTTACTTCAATAAGTTTAGAAATAATTATATTGATGATTAGAAGTAGTGGCGGTTTGTTCTTTTTGTGTTTTATAGAATCTCGTTTTTATTGCCAAGAGACTTTTTTCAAACTTTATTGTATAATATTAGGTAGTGCTTCATGAAATGATGAAACGTCAAAGATATTTGGTTACAACATAAAAGTGCAGTTTGTGTAGTTAAGTATTTATAGGGTCTATGATATACGTACTTAAACATGTACCTGTAAATACACGTACAGATGTACATGTACATATACATATACATATGCATATACTTGTACATATCTGTCTGTGGTCACGAGTAATGAGCTTACACTTCAGATACAAATAGAACTAGTGAATAACGAAAACAATATTGTAACGTCGATGTGTCGAAATGCACGGCAGTTTATGACTTTATTTACTTGTTTTAAGTTTCAAGTTTATTTTATTCTATAATATACAATCATAACCTAAATAAATAGAATACAATGAATAAATGCATTCCTTCCATTAAAACTACATACAATACATGACATCATGTCATATAAGTAATTCAAGACAAGGAAAAAGAATAACGAAAGACAAAAGTCAATATTTCATCTTCCAAACTGAAGGTAAAACAAATATGGTTTCAATGTAAAAAATGAGGTAATTTAAGGTAAGATGCTCGGTTTATAAATTATTAACTATACACTGCGTCCCAGAAAATATGAAACTCGAAAACAAATAGATCTTGTGAATATCTATAAGGTGTATAATACGATTCCTTGTTTCCATAGGGTAGAAGTATAATGCTTTCCAATGATACATTGATTACATTAATCTATACACGCTTCACTGAGCAACATCGTGTTGAAATGTCATGTCAACATCCACTTTTGCCGGATTTGTGTGAAACAGTAAAACCGTTAGTATCTAAATATCAAACGTGAACATGACCGATCATGACCTGAAAGAAACACACATTTTAAAAGCGAATGAGAAGATTATTTTAATGAGCTTTTTTAATAATGAAGGCAAGTTTAATATATACCATCTTTATCATGAAATAATGCATCGTGGAAATATCGTTGATGGTGAGGGTAAAAGGGCATACTTTTGTTAGTGAATGGGTCTGCAATTGAAAAAAGAGCACGTTAAAAGATATTTTAAAAACAAGAATCAAATTGATGGGTGCCTTGCATTTTGATAATAATATTTATTGTATCAGTATTGCTGTTATTATTATTATTATTATCATCATCATTTACATTATTATTACTTTTGCTGTGAATATAACCATTATTTTACAAGTTAATCATCATACCTATTGTAAGTAAAGCCGATGTAAATATGCAAACTTGATACGATGGGAGTTGCCATGTTACAGGATGATTCATTATCTAAAATCATTGAAATAGTAGCATTAGATATTAAATGTTTGCTTGACGTGCAATAATCTATTTTCAGTTACTATCCTGTCAACTGTTTTTGTTTGAGTAAGAAGAAGAGAAATACACAGTACATAGGAAAGAGTGGAGAGGAGAAATTGTGAGAAGTTGTAAAGAAAGAAACATATGGTTTAGTGAGAGAACTCGAAAGGAAGAGATAAAGAGTGAGAGAATGTGGGAAGATATTGATGTAAAGTGAGAGAAATTTGTCATGAAAGAGATGTATAATAGAGTGATTTAATTTGAAAGGAAGACTCAGATCAAGATTGCAAGAATATAAGAAGGTGATGAAGAGAGAGAATTATTTTGTGAATGAAAGGGAGTGAGATGATTTAAAAAAGAGGAACACAAAAGAGTGAAAGAATATGAGAAGATAATGAAATAAGAGATTTTTAAGACATAGAAATACAAAAGTTAAATGGATTTGAATGGAAGAAATACAAAGTAACAGATTGTAAAAAGATGATAAAGGGAGAAACATTTTAAATGATGTATTTAAAAAATGATAATAAGCGGTATACATGATTGAGAGAATTCGAATAGACGTGATGTACATATAGACTGAGAAAATGTGTGGATAAGAAATTGAAATTAGAGAACTTCTGTTATCACGTTATATACAACCCAGCATCGGGAAAGGGTGATTAGTATTTTCTGCTATGAACGGAAAGAACAGAGAAAGAAGCTTATACCTACGATTAGACTCACTGGACAGCGCCTCCTATTGGCGAAGTCCCGCAGCATAATACATATTGACTTGTACAAAATCAATCATTCATTTTATATTTAAAAAAAAATTATAACAGAAATCACATCAACCTCCTTTTCATTGGAAACTCCTTCTTATTTCTTCGTGACGTAATTACTCGTGTCCCCCTCTCCTTGCACCTTGGCGCATTTATGGGGATAGGATGCGCATATTTTGATGCATAACGATAATATTTTTGAAAATAAAATAAAATCATTCCTTTGCATAGCCCTAATTCAGACTAATTCAGACAAGGACACGATACAACAAATCGTCAGTCTTCTTTCTCTAATAATTTAATGAAACGTGGAAGCTTCCGCGCTTAGCACGGGATGGGCGAAAAATGAACTCAGACAAGGATTAAGAGTATTAATTCAATGAAACGGCGAGGCTTCCGCGTTTCGCGCGGGAGTGGAAGACTGAATTGAATTGATTTGATTTGATTTTATTTTATTTATTGGTTTCTGCATCTCTTTTCTTTTTTTCATCATACATTTTCACGAATATAATATGGTTTGATACACTATTTTAACTGTATATAATTTTAAAAAGCTAATAAACGAAATTAAACAAATATATTGAATGCATAATAACATACATTATGGCCCGGTCACACATAGATGACGCATGTGGCGATTTGTTCTTATTGTGTATCATATAATCTTACTTTATTACCAAAAGACTTTGTTCAAACTTCATTGTATGATAATAGTCAGTGCTTCTTGAAATCATGAAACGTCAAAGATATTTAAACATAAAAGTGCAGTTTGTGTAGTAGAGTGTTTATAGGGTCTATGATACAAATATAGGAACCTGTTTACATATACATGTAAATGCACATACACATATAAATATACATATGCATATACATAGCTATATACATATCTGGCTGTGGTCTCGAGTAATGAGCTTATACTTCAGATACGAATAGAACTAGTGAATAACGGAAACAGATATTGTAAGGTTAATGTGTCAAAAAACACGGCAATTTATGTGACTGGTTTTAAGTTTCAAGTTCATCTTATTTTATATTTCACAATCATTACATAAATAGATTGAATACAATGAATAAATGCATTCCCTCAATGAGAACTATATGCAATACACGACATCATGTCATATAAGTAATTCAAGACAAGGAAAAAGAATAAAGAAAGACAAAAGTCAATATTTTATCTTCCAAACTTAAGGTAAAACAAATATGGTTTTAGTGTGAAATATGAGTAATCTGATGTAATATGCTCGGTTTATCAATTATTAACTATACACTGCGTCCCAGAAAAGATGAAACTCGAAAACAAATAGATCTTGTGAATATCTATGAGGAGTATAATAAGATGCCTTGTTTCCATAGAGTAGAAGTAATAAGCTTTCCAATGATACATTGATTACATTAATCCATACACGCTTCACTGAGCGACATCGTTTTAAAATGCCATGTTGACATCCCCTTGCCCTAATTTCGGGTGAAAGAGTGAAACCGTTAGTATCTAAATATCAAACACGAACATGACCGATCATGACCGGAAACAAACACACATTTTAAAAACGAATGAGAAGAATATTTTATTGAGCTTAATTAATAATGAAGGCAAGTCCAGTACCATCTTTATCATGAAATAATGCATCGTGGAAATATTGTTAATTGTGAGGGTAAAAGGGCATACTTTAGATAGTGAATGGGTCTGCAATTAAAAAAGAGCAAGTTAAAAGATATTTAAAAAACAAGAATCAAATTGATGGGTGCCTTACATTTTGATAAGAATATTTATTGTATCAGTATTGCTGTTATTATTATTATTATTATTATTATTATCATTAACATTATTATTACTTTTGCTGTGAATATATCCATTATTTTACAAGTTAATCATTATACTTATTGTAAGTAAAGCCGATGTAAATATACAAACTTGATACGATGGGAGTTGCCATGTTACAGGATGATTCATTTTTTAAAGTAATTGAAATAGTAGCATTAGTGATTAAATGTTTGTTTGACGTGCAATAATTAGTTTCAATTACCATCCTACCAATTGTTTTTGTTTGAGTAAGAAGAAGAGAAATACACAGCACATAAGAAAGAGTGGAGAGGGGAAATTGAGAGAAGTTGTAATGAAAGAGATGTATAATTTAGTGAGAGAACTCGAAAGGAAGAGATAAAGAGTGAGAGAAT